TTAGCTCGGTCAGTTTGTATGGCAGCTATATGCTTGCTCTAATAGTCCGATCTAAACAATTTCTTCTTCGGAGCTTGTAGCGCTGCCTTGAGCAATAACCCGTAGCAAATTTCGAGGAGAAATCTCGTCAAGTAAAAAAGCTTTTTGCATATGGACTAGATTTTGATGGATCAGTTTGTATTGCAGCTACAGGCTATAGTGATTCAATATCGGCGTTTCCGACAAATGAGCAGCTTCTTGACTAGAATGCCAGATCGATATCTCAAAAACTGATGGACTAGTTCGCGTATACACAGACAGTCAAACGGATATGGCTAACTCGACTCAGCTCGGCACGCTTATCATTTACATATGTTATATACTTTCAAATTTAATACACACTGTTGAGGATAAAAATATACATGTACAAAAAAGAAGTATAGTATTGCTATACTTATATAATTTCATATGCAGCTTTTAAAGTATGGAATTGCTAAACACTTGACGAGTTCGCACGATTGATGGATTTTAAAACAAAAAATAAAGAATTTTGTTTTTTTAAGCTGAAATTTGTATTTTTCAATCAATTAATTTCCTTTACGGAAACTTTCCGCTCCAACTAATGATTACTCTTCGTGAAAGTTATCAATTGTATTATTAAAATCCTTTCAATAATGTTACTACATGCAATTTGAGACTTAAAATACGTATGTGTGAGTGAAATTGTAGCCTAGAGCGCCTTGCAGTATGCAACGTTTTTTCATAAGCACACACATATGTAATTTATGCCCTGACACAAGCACTACGTTCACTTAAATACACTTTTCTCTGCCAACTTGTGTCATTTAAGTGCTTTCAGCGATTCATTGAATTACTTGCCCATTTACCAAGCAACCAACTGGCCAACCAATGCAATCACCTGAGTCAAGCGCCAGCACTTCGCTCGCGTCAAAATTTCATTAATGTAGCAACGTTATTTGATTTTTAGTTTATGTACCATATATGTTCCACATATGTATATAAACATATTATATATATCTATAAATTTCGTAAGGCATATTGCTCCATTGCCTTATGCAAATCACAGTGCGCAGCATCAATCGCTAAACATTTTCACACATTTGAATGCAAGCCAAATGGTGACTCGACTGCGCGTAATAAAAGCGTTAGAATTGAGCATAAAAAATCGATAACACTCTAATAGCAATTGAAGCATTGCAAATATTTTTCAATTTATCTATTTTCTTTGTGTCACAATGCAAGCCGCACTCCAAACGAATTCACACATACATATCTGCATTTTCGAATACTTCTTTTACAGTTTTTCTTCGGTTTTTCTTTGGTGTTGCTGTTGTAAAGGGAGCGTTTTTTTCAAGGCATGAAGAGCTCATAATTGTTGTTGTTGCTGCTAGTAGTATTAGTGAAACAAATTCTTATTCTCAACAAATGGAGCATTTCGCCAAAAATGTTCCATACTTTTAACTTTCCAATAATGGAATGTGATTAAATTGTAGCATTATAGCGCCTGCGCAATGGAACTATAAACGATTTTTCACTTGGCAAACTCATTGCTAACTCAATCTCTATTCACAATGTTCTGTTCTTATAATTCACTTCGTACAATTTGGCTCAGTCTCCACTCACTACTTACCAGATGCACAACAAAAACAATGAGTACTTTATTAATTTGCGAAAGTTTGAGTGTGTTCAGATATCTATTTATGGTAGAGAGTGCGTCTGTCAGACGTTGCGCCTAAGGCTCCTACAGTTTCCTCTTTTGCTTTAGTTTGACTATGTGAAAACTGACAGATGCCCAACAACAGCAACAATAACAAGAGGCAAGAGCAATAGCAGCAGCATCACAGCAACGTCACGTCATTCAACTCCACGCTTCAGTTCGGTGTTACATACATATACCATATATGTATGTAAATGTATGTGCCCTTTTCCTTTTACACCACAAGCAAAATGTTTACTTTCAATTATGATTTTTTTTAATTCCTACTTGAATGTAACTTTAAATATCTGTGCATGTATGAGATAGTAAAGAGTGCTTTAATTAGCGTGTTTGTTACTTTTTAATAATGCAGGTGCTTTGCCCAGGCATTTTCCCTAAAAAAATATTTTTTTTTAATTTTTATTCGAATTGTTGCAATCTTATTCCGGTCAATACACACATACATTGTGCTTCAAATTTTCATATAGACCAATCTCTCTCAGAGATTTATGCTACGGAAAGTGATATTTTACATTCCATGATCTATCGAAATCTCGCAGTCATCTTCCTTCACATATTTGCTGGTTGTGACCAAAAATGCGAATTTTTAAATTCAAAATTAGATGTCATATTTTCAATCTCAAAATCCAAATTTAAAATTGAGAACCGCCGCTTAGGATTAAATTTACAATTTCAAATACCGGATTAAAAAATCATAAAAAATATTAATTTTTATGCATTATTTGCAACCCTGATAGTGACTACCAGCCCCAATGGGTTAACGCCAAAAATATAGAAAGTTCATTAGATATACTAACACAGGCCAGACGCCATTTGAAAAACTAGCTTCAAAGCAATAAAAAAGTTTAAGGGTAAGCACCAAATTTGGCATTCCACTCGTCAACAACGGTAATAAAATTAACAACAAATTCGTTTTCGGAATGACAAAAAAACCAACACTTTGTGTACACTCTAAATCAAGCTTAAAGCAACAAAACCAAATGCGTTTGCTACAACTGAGCAACTGTTAATGAATATTATTCGATTTCAAACCAGAGAGTACCAGACCCAATAAAAGCGTAATAGAGCACTTCGATTACTTTTGTAGACAAAAATGAATTCGTTGGGTTAGTTGTGCACCCCTGTCATAGTTCAGTTTAGTTTTCGAAAGCAGAAATATGGTAATTTTACACAATAACGTAGTTCGTTTTTCCTTCTCTAATCTTAAATAAATAGTCAACTGTCAGCGACATACTTGAGAGGATACCATTAGCTGAATTTCATCAGATTTGGACAACATATGGTGAGGCTATCTTGTCGAATGCAAAAGCTGTATGGAGCAAGACACCTTCTGTGCAGCTTTTGTCAGACTGATATTGAATTATATCGTTTAAAACACGACTTCTGGTGAAGTAGCTGCGATTGATATTAGCTGTTTTAACAAATTTGTGGTAGGCTCTAAGCGCTTCGTCGTCCATCTAGATGGGTTTGGTGATCCATATTAAGCAGTTTTGGGAGTCATAAAGAACCAGCGTTCACAGCTGTCTAAGTTGAATCCTGCGTTACCTTTGGTGTGAGGATCAGCCTTACGATCTAATCTAACCTAACCATTGTAAATACATACAGAAAATAATACATGATAATTAAACAGTTTATCGAAAGTACTTTCGATTTCTTCTTTACTTTACAGTTTTTAACTTGAAGGAAATATCAGTAATCAATACAAAATGATTCATGGTTTGGTTAAACAAAATATATTCCACAAACCTATTAGTCAGCAAGCAAATAATCGAAGGGTTAATCGAAGCATGTGCATGGATCAAATTACGTACAACAAAGCGTATAAATATATATGCATATGTGGAAGTACATACATATACATAATTAATTATATACATGTATATAGATATATGAAGTTCATTTTATAAGGCTTATTGATAGCTAACCCTAGTAGAGCGCGAGCTGTTAAGGACTTCTTATTTATATATTAATATAATACTTAATGCAGACATGCAAAAATGCACTCTTCTACGTATGTACTGGTATTTAACTCGTTTAAACCATTGTTATCGACAGTTGTCCTGACAATAGTGAACGACTCGAATAACAGCGGGTGCATAGCCTTACTTATATTATATATTTACATCCGACCGCAGTAGGGTTATTAACAAAGGTATGCATTACAATAAACATATTTATCAACACACATGCATATACGAGTATATAGCATACATATCTACATAGAATACACTATATAGTCATCATATTACAAAGTATTCTTGCCAATGCATTTGCTTCCTTGATGAAGTATTGCACATAAGATTAACATGCACATCTATCTACATGTACATATATATGTATGTATTCACTACTCTGAGCACAGAACACGCTCGTTCCCCCATCTTACGCAATGAAATGATTTTGATTGTCGGTCGACATGTCCTCAAGGATGTTGACACAAGATGTTCGGTTGTGGGAATCTACATATCTACATATAATTTTAGCGATTAATTTTTTTCTGTAAATTAACACAAGAGTTCTATAATCAGCTGATGGGCCTCTTCTCTAGGCGAGTTTATACTCCTTCTTTACGAGTATTTTTCATTTATTTTTAGAATACAGTATAAAACTGAATTATTTTAAATAATTTTACTTCTTAATGCGTGTTGATTGATCATGAAATCAGCTGCATATGTGGTACATGAACGTTAAACGCCAATGTTAAATAACATTAAAATTCATGTACAGTCATGCCAGAGTATGTTATTGATTAACATTCTCTGGGCATGCTCCATTATAAGCACTGTTAATGTTCGAATTGTTGTTATTAGTACTGTTCAGCGCTGTTAATCGCATATACTGAACAATTTGTGGTATTTTTTTATTCATTCCTAGTTATTTACCTTATTTTACGAAGAAGAAATATTTATAAAATAATATATATATTACATAATAAGCTGTGAAGTAATCATTTACACTGTTAATGTTACGATTTGTATTGCTGGTATCAAAAGTGTAAACGCCTTTTAATAACATATTTGTAATATTTGTGATATTTCATTTATCGCTAGCTGTTATTATAAATTTCATTAACATTCTGTAATAGCAGTATATATGTATGTATTGTTAATGTTAGAATCGCTGTTAGTAGTAGTGTTAACGTCTGTTAATTACATATTTGAATATTCTGTGCTGTTATCACTCATTTCGAGCAGGGTTGTGAGGCTTTTATACTCGTTATAGGCCAAATTTAATATAAATAATTTATTAGAGGAGTCATTGAAGGGTTTGAGGAGTATGTTAATTGTTATATAGAAGCTTTATTTTTATTTATATAAGCTATTACAATTTTTGTTAGTGCCTTTTCAGAACTAATAAGTGTTAAAACAACGGTTATTTCTGTTGACAAAAGAAAGTTTGTACATTGAATTGTTTTAATTCCAAAAAGTTATTTTGATGTGAATGAGTTTCAAAATTGTTTAAATATATTTTAAAGTACACATACGTAAAACTCTTTTCTTTATTTACCACATAGATAAATAGGTGCATAGGCATACAATCAAACTAATATAGGCTTAATAAATAGAAAAAATTACATACTTGTACATATATTAAAAATTTGCATAAATACTTTTACAATATATACTAAAACGTTCGTGTTCTGCATAACATTTTGCTGAGACAAAACCAATACAAAATTTGGATAATTTCTTTCATAAGACTCAATTTCACTGTTCGCTTAAACTATAACTCAAACAGTCCGCTTGCAATTGTAAACGCTTAACATTAATTAGTTTTTATAATTTTTGTATTGTACAATATTCCAGTACTCTTCTATTATAAAAAGCCGTCGACAATTTTTACTTTGACTTCTTTGCCACGTCTTCCGCAGGCTCCTCAATGGCGGCAAGTGCTTCCCTTAAACCTTCGGGTACTTTGTATTTTTGATTATATACCAGAAACTGCAAATAATGTATTTTGATATTATTATTTTTTGCATAAATGTGAGTAAAACATTTTAAAATAAAATTAAAATAAAAAACTAGCACTCACCTTTCTTGGTCCGGACTTTTCCACGTCCTCGCAATTCATTTTACCACTCGAATAGAAACTATTGGAAGAAACATAAGAGTAATTTTTGTTTTTATTTGTTCAAAGGTTTACATTTTAAATATTCGAAAGAGAAATAATTTTAAAGCTCAAAAAATATAGTGACATGAGGCTGCGTTTACACAAAGCTAACTTAAACAATGCTTCGATCCTCTGTCATTATACATCAATTATTATTTTTTTTTTCGGTTTTTTCTTACGTATGCTGAATTTGATTGACCTCGCCAAGTGCATATATTGATGGTATCTATTAAATAATTAACTCACCGCACATCATCACGTGACAGACCATTTCGCACAATCGCATAAAATAGACCCAAAACTGCTCCACCAACTATGATAAAAAGTGGTGATAACTGGAAAAGTGTAAAAATTAAAACACAATTACAAATTAGTTAGTTGGTTACTTTAAAAAAGAATAAAAAAAAACATTTAACAAAAACTTCAAATTAATTAACAAACAATCTTATTTTAATAGAAAACTATAAGACAAGAAACTACTTTCTACATCATCTGCTGATATATTTAGGTTAAAATGTTACTTAACTAAAAAATATAACTGCTACAATCAGCAAAAAAATTTTAAAAGAAAATATTTAAACGATAACGATAAACTATTACCTTTATGACATAAATATATTATAAATATATACATGTTCAGACATACAAACATTTTACATATCCCTTTATAGACAAAAATATCCATATTGTTTTCTAATTAAAACGTGCTTCTTGAAAAGAGAATAGAGAACTGAAAATAAAACTTGACCTGTTGAATTTTGTGATTTTAAAGCGATTATTATATTTTTGATATTTGAATGTATTCAAATAATAATGTTATATTTTCATTCCGGACGTGTAAATAAATATTCTATAAACATATAAATTTTAATTATTTCGCTGGAAAAAATCAGATTAACTTTTGTATATATAATATTGACAAATTTCAAATTTACAGTTATTCAATACTAAAAAGAAAACAATGTTCAAAACTCGCCATCTTTTAATGCCTCAACCAAGCCTGCTGGCCAAGCGTATCTTTGATTGTAAGTGCGCAACTGTAAATATTAAAATATTTCGTTACAAAACAGTAATTTTTATCATTTAGCTACAAGTATGCGATCGACGCACCTTTTTTATAGGCGGAGGCTTATTTTTGAGAAGGCGCGTGTAATCTTCATAGGGCATTTTACCAAAATAGCTAAATTTTAAAAAGTTTCAATTTCCTTTGCTTTGCATATAATTATCTTATTTGCGCTTACCATACATCATCGCGGGTAAGGGCAATCCGTAAAGTCGCAAGAAATTCGCAAGTTAGGCCGCATAATGCGAAAACTACAAGCGGTATTGTCTAAAACAAGTTTGGGAAAAATTAGTAGGTGAGAAAATCAGGCGCGCTTGTGTCGCAAATACAAATTGTTAAAAAAACTGAAATAATTTTAAATGATTTATGAAATTTGGCGTTAAGTCTCCAAAATACAAATTCCTGTAAGTAGCAGAAATTTGATCTACATACATACATATATAAAATGCTAAATGTCATTTCCTAACACTGCGGCAAACATGTTTTCGCCTTTCCTTCATACATATTCAGCAATAAAGCGCCTGCGCTCTATGCTTATAAAACTACCTGTATGAACGAACATGTTGCAGCAACATGCATGCAAGGATTATACTGGCTTTCCTAGTGTGATTGTACAGGCAAATGGTGGACGAGTATAAAAGCAAACGTTTGAAGTCAAACATATTTTAAAAGCGAAAGAAATTGTATTGAGATATGTTGTGTATTTATAAATATTTGGAAGCATAACGATATCATATTGTATATTATTTAAATACATAAATTGCATGTTGAAATCACATTTGTTGCATATATAAACATTAGATAATCGGTTATAGTGCAGAAAAAAACGAAATAATCGTCATAGTGATACGCAAGTGTTATTCAGATTTACTTTACAATTTGTATACATATGTACGAGTATATAAGTACAGAAAAAGGAGATAACAATATAAACACAATAAATTTACTTGAAAACAGAAAATTATTCTTCAAGAAAATAACTGAGCAACAACCACTTTGTGTAGTTACCTAGGGCAACCGTGTGGAAAGCGTTGCTGTTTATTTTTCTCAACGTGTGGAAAAATTGAAAATTTCCCAGAACGTACAAGACACTGCTACAAATAGACGTTATTTGGTAAACGCGCAATTGAATAGTTATTTCACATTTCTAAACTATAACATTTGTAAGATAATTCATTCGATTAATTTTGTTTTCGCGATCGCCACCTGTTTGCTAACCTCACTTACGCGATTTTTTTAGTCCAAAACAGTTGGACGCATACCGTTTTTGCGAATACCACGCCGTTATCAATCAAAATTCAGCTTAGACGTGAAGTGCACGCCATAAAAGAAGGCGTTACCATGTTACAACACCATCCTCATTCCATACCACTTGCTGCGGCACGCATAAAGGAAGAATCTGCTAGCAATCCAACATTTTTCTTTCCACACAGCAATCCCATTGATAATGCTGCTGCAGCTGCAGCCGCAGCCGCTGCTGGACTCATCGATCAACAACACCGTGACCTACACAATGTGCTGGTCAATGCTGCGGCTGTAAATGGTACATTGACCAATACAGCAGCTGCAGTGCTAAAGAGTCAATCGGCTCAACAACAACAAAATAGCGCTGCTCAACAGACAGCCCAAGCACAAGCTGCAGTAGCAGCAGCAGCAGCAGCACAGGCGCAACAACAGTCACAGCAGAATACTACAAATAACAACGCTGCCGCACAACAACAACAACAGCAGCAACAACAACAACAGGGGCAACAAAACACCATGGTACTGTTGAATGGTAATGCTGGAGCAGTTGCTGGTGGTAATAATGGTACCGCCAATGGTGCTGTTGTAAAGGGTAGTTCTTCTGGTAGATCGACGCCTGTCAGTGGCATTTCCACCACAGATCCAGCACCAGGCAAACTTTTTGTTGGCGGTCTTAGCTGGCAAACATCGTCGGAAAAACTAAAGGAATATTTTGGAGTTTTCGGCACCGTCACCGATGTGCTAATCATGAAGGATCCCGTAACACAGGTAAGCACGTAGCAGTCTCCTTTCTAGCGTTGCTGCGGAGGAGTACCTTTTCATTTCAGTACTACTACTACTAACAATATTTACCTAGGCATTTTTATTTGTTATGTCTATTATTACTATTCAGTGGCTGCCTACGTTGGCTTTGGGTGTAGCAATATTTGCCCTCATCTTTCTACAATTTTTCTACACTCACATGATCTGTCTTTACTAAACATACATATATCAAGATATTTCTGCTTAATTTCATATCGAACTATATTTGCATAGGCATATGTCATGTATGTTTTGGTATTTTCTTACATGGAAGGGTGGCAACGTACCATTTACATATGTATTTAGGAGCTGCCAGCCAGCAAAATTGGCAAGCAGCTGCACCTTTTTCATTTTATTTTACCTCAGTGATATGAGCGCGCAACAACAAATATGAGAACAATACTACATTCTACCAATGAAAAGATTCCGTTTAAATGTTATAGGTTCCTTAATGTTGCACGCAGCTGTAAGAAAGACGCCTTTTTTCTTACCTGTGTTACTCTCAAACTATACAGTAGAGTTTCCAAAAATCCGCATAATTCATAAGAAATAATAAACAATCTAACAAACTGCTATTACAGTATGAAAACTACACTTCTTTAACCTTAGAAAATGCAATTTGTCACAATTCAAAATGTCCTGTTATAAAAAAGTTCAATGCAAGAATGTAGGGCATTCGCCCCACTGACTCATGTCAAACCAACTGTTCCGTCACTACGGCGCGTTGTAAACATTTAGCGCGCGCTCATACTATATACACCGTGTCCAACTGACGCAAACATCTGCCATTGATTCAAATATGTTGTTTTCTGGCCGATTGTATTATTGTACGATATAAAAACTGGCGGCAACGCGCAGTCGCAATATTACAGCTGTTCAATTCAATTTGGTTAGATTACAATATAACACATACATACATATGTATAAGCGTATAAAATGTGTGCCCTTGCATGGCATGCCGCGTCAGCGCACAGTTGGGCTTCGTTGTAGGGCTATGGCACAGGATACTGCTGAATTGAACAGGAATATAAAACAGTACAATCGATACTGCTATTCTTTACTTGTCTGGGGTTCAGCTCTTCAACGCCTGTTACTGATTATTGTGCCATCCTTTTTACCTTTTATACGTTGCATTTTCATTTGTTCGTACAATTTTGGCATATCCTGTCGCTATGTTCAAATTTTATTTACAATTTTTCGGTTTTGCGACTCTGAGAAACGGGTTTCGTTCACTACTTCTGTTATTGTCTTCAAAATTCCGTGCTGTTTTGCCCTTATGCATTTCTTTATTCTAAACATACTACAATTGCTATATGTATGATCGTTTTTGTTTTGTTTGCATACTGTGGAGTGTGCATGCGTTTGCATACTAACGAAATATATCTCTATGGCAAAAAACACACCTGGCTTCAATGGTGTGTTTGTAATGAAATTTGTGTATATCGCAAAATAATTTTATTTATTTTATATAGTAGTATCACGTAGTTCATTCAGTTTTTTCAATTGACAGGAAACTTAAAGAATACTATCTAAAATTTAAGTTTTAATATTTTCGAAATCAGTTAAACAACTAGAATATTACTGCTCAGGTATAGCATATATAGTATAATTATATTACAACTAAGTGGTTATATGTAGAATTATGCCAAACCGAAAATCCATAAAATATTCTCGTACTTATAAATTAAGCTAATATCCAGCAGGCAATGTAAAAGATATACATATGTATGTAGTTTTATTTAATCATTTCTCAAGTAAGCTAAAATTTAAACGAAAGCAGCGAGTTATGTATTTTATAAGCTGACGCTGTCGAAATTGATTTATTTACGCTATTAAAAACAACATTACTATGGATTTGTACAGAATTTAGAGAAAACACAGTCAACAGGCAAGATATGTTAACGGTTAAGCCGACATGAGCAAGGATAGGTGGTGCAAAACGCATGCGCATGGAATATCCAGTCAAACGGAGCAAGCAACACACACACACACACACACACCTATACATATGAATTTGTGTATTACGACTTAAACTGTGCTGAAATTGTGGCATACCTGAGTCATTGGCCGACGTTTTAAAACGCCAGCACATAAATAAAGTAGAATACTACCGTTCGTTTATGCTATTCAATAACAGCATAGGCATTATGTGGCAGCTGCGCGACAGGATTACGAACAAACAACAACAACTACTACTGACATTCAGCAAAACTGGTCGAGCTGCAATTATTAAAGGATAACCACATGAAAAAGTGCTGTACAGAGAAGCTATTCTGGCTCGCTATCATGTACTTTACTGGAATTATGCTGACAGACAAGCAACCTTATTCATTTTGCATATGCTCAACACAGTCTGCGCACTCGTTTGACATGTTCTACTTCAAGAATCATAGGTATTTGTCTATATAACATTTTTCCACCTAACTCTGTCGCATATGAAACATTAACGAATAGGAAATTGTAAACGTATTTGTTCAAATGCTCATTAATGACAAATTACCCGTAAATCTAAAAGTAGGACTCAATCGCAGTAAATTCGTAACTTTTGCAATAGTATATTGAGTATTTAAATATAATTAATATTTATACTACTACCATTTACAAACAATTGACCCCCTAAGCTGTAAATTCACCTATAATTGTAATGAATTTTTGTGCCTTATCAACCCTCAGTAATATATATGTATTTATGATAATACTTAAAAAGGAATTGTATATTGTAATCAATTAAAAATAATTATATCGAATTTAGTCGGTTTATATATAATTGATTTCATCGTTTGAAAATATGATATTGCGTAGAAAATAAGCATTTATTTATCCATAATTATTGTTTTAGAACAGTTTAGCAGTTGCTCAAAATAATGACAGTCGACAAATGTTGAATTGTACAATTCTGTAACACATACTATTGTAGTGTACCTATCTATATGTACGTGTAAAATAAAATTATAACAAGAGATTTAGTTAAATATATAACTAGGTATGTATCTTTAATTCCTGTAAACAGTTAACTTCAAGTCAATAGCTGATGTTCTTACTAGAAAAATATTATGATGTATAATTGAATTCTGCTGTGATAAAATAATTTTTCTTTGTAAAAAAGACTAATGCTTGCATAACATTAGTTTAAATTCAAATTAAAGTCAGTTAAAAGAAAAGTTTGAGTGAAAATAATAAAAAGTGGCATTAACGCTATATTTGTGTAATTAAAATATCAAAAAATTCAGTCACTTTGTATGACAGCTATATGCTATAGTGGTTCGATCTAAATAATTTGTTCAGAGATTGTACCGTTGACTCGTGCTATTATCCATGCCAAATTTCGTGCAAATAACTTGTCAAATAAACCAATTTTTCATACAAGAACTTGATTTTGATCGTTCTGTTTGTATGGCAGCTATATGCTGCAGTGGTTCGATCTGAAATTTTTTTTTCGAATATTATAGCGTTACCTTGGACAATAAGTTATGCTAAATTTGTATAAGATATCGTGTCAAATAAAAAAGTTTTCCATACAAGCACTTTATTTTGTATGCAAAACTTAATATACCCCATTCAGGGTATAAAAATACTTTAGCTGAACTACTTTGCTTCAAATGCTTTCATTTATTTTAATTAAATTAACGTTATGCATTATTTTTACAACATTTAGTTCTAAAATCATAACGTTCTTTTAAAAACTTATCAATGTCTGTATGTATCTTATGTATATGCCTTTAGGTTAAACTATTAATGCCTTAGCAAGGGTCTAAACACAAGTTAATCAAGAAAGCCCAAAAACGTTGACTGTTATTCTAGCAGCAGTTGTAATAATAGTCGAATAGTCCAATGTTTTATATTTCATATTTTTTTAATTCTCCTCTTTAGTACTGTAATTAGTCTATTTTCTCTTTGCTTACTGCAGTTCAGTTTCTAATTAATGAATATAGTTAGCTAGCTTTCTTATATTTTTGTGTAAAATTTTTTTTTTATTCTTAGTAAATTTTTCTATAACAGCACATTTTAAACCCTTTTCTTGCATAGATTTTCAAATAATCATATTGATTTCATTTCATTGTTGATATTTTATTTAGCAACTTTTGGTTTCTTCATATTCGCCAAAAAAAAATTTATTCTTACAAATTTATCAAGTTCATTTTTAGTATAAATTAACAAAAATAATCTACTTAAAGAATACAGAAAATAATAAGTAGCTAAAAATAATTGACTCAAGTGTCGAAGCTTTGAGAAGGCGCTACTGTCTCGTAGTACGTTTATTTCCTTAGCAATAAGTAAGCGTAATGCGCAATAATACAGAAAATAATTATTAAAAAAAAAAGTAAAAAATCTAGCAGCATATAAAACGAATATTTTGAATTAGTCATTCCTCGTATTTACATCATTTAGGCACATATTAGTATAGATATGTACAAAAGCAAGGCTATATAATACCAATTAATATATGTATTGTTAATTGTAATTAATAATCAAATTTCTGCTAATTTTGAAGGGACCAAAAAAAGGAAGCAAAATGCAAAGTTTATATCATAGTTTAATCCAAAATGTATCACAAATTAAAACGTTTAGCTGTAAGTGCCAAAAAATAGTTGTAAAATATATTTTTTTCTTATTGTAATTGTAAAAATGTTTCTTAAATGATTGTAACAGAGTGCGTGTACCTTTGCGCTGTAATTATGTTTTTTTTTTTCTTGTCAATATAAACTACTATATATAAACTATTGTAATTTATTGTTAATAACGTAATTTTATTAATGCTTTTTGTCCTTAAGACATACCGCATATTTAATAAGGTGTGCTGCGTAGACACACTTCAATATATTATATTATAAAGCTGTAGGGTCGTGTGCATATATTGTACAATTTTAGTTTTCAGCAGCTGAAATTGTATGCTGCTTTAAATACAATATGTGTGTGTTATACTTAGACTATAAATTAGGCGCTTCATTAGCGTAAAACTTTAACTATCATTTAAGCGTATTTTTTTCAACCATACATACTATATATATACTCGTATAAGTAACTAAATCCAATTATATAGTTATATAAAAGTATTTGTTATGTAGCGTTCAATTTGGTTTAGCGGCGCAAGTCTGTTGTTAGGCTGACAATACCTGGTTATTTGTTTTTGAGCGTGTCTCCAGTGGCGTACGTGTGCGTGGTGTGTATGTATGCGTGTAAATAGCACCTAGAATAAACTTTAGTCCGGTATATATTGATATACACTTGTAAAAATATTTAATTTTTAAGTTTTTGTAGCCTCTTTTTTCGACTATCGTACCCTCGCCCCCCCCCCCTTAGGCTCTTGTCATTTTTTTTTTTTTGTTTTTCATTCATATTTTTATTTGTCCACAGTGTTCCTTACTAAAATGCCTACTTAATGCCGAAACCAAATTAATTTTTTATTATTGGTTGCTTTCTTTGAAAAAAAAAATTTTTTTTCTTTAATGCTTAGACGACTCTTGCATCAAATGTTCTTTAGTAAACCTTGCCGTGGAACTAAAAATTCGATACACATACAATTGAAAAACATTTCAGTGCGAAAGAAAAGTTAGTTTTCACCTAGCATTTTTTGAATTGTAGAAATTGCCAAGAAATATATACTTTTTGTTATTTGAAGCAGGTTGTTAGAAACCTTTTTCGCCTAGGTAACCCTGTTTGGCTGCTTGTGCGATCGTATCTAGTTAACCTAAAAATCAAAATAGTCAGCGGTTTAACAAAAAGTTTGTAATAGTAAAACCTCGAATATCGTTTTAGCAGTAAATAAAATCAAAATTTAACACAAAATTTACTATTAATGTGTGCTATGTAAGATGTTTGACTTATCCTACAGAGTTTGTTTTTATTCTGTTAATTAACTGTTCACTGAAATATGTGAATATCGTGCGTTAAGCGCTGCTAAAAATTACTCGCATCCCTTAAATTGAGTTGTGGCGCTTTTGAAAAAAAAAAAAAATTCTTAACGTTTTGGTTTAGGTTTAGATACGTAAATTTGTTTTTATGTATGTATGTATGTATAGATAATGCGTCTAGGTTATGTTTGAGTTGTTTGACTACTAGACTATATTTTACTGATTTCTTTACAGCAGCCAATATATATACATACATATAAAGTAAATCGTTTTTAACGTCTCTTTTTTACTTCTACGCATAGTATTTATATCCAACAATTGAATTAAATCTCTTAACTCCATATGAAATATACATACGTAATAATTTATAACTTTCTTATAATCAAATGTACAATTGCAATTTAATTAATTATACTCATACTCCTTTACTACTTGAGAAAATTATAAAAGCAGAAATAAAATTTATTATAAATTGCCTAGCGTTGAGTAAATTGAATTGACTTGAATTGCTCTTGCGTACTGCAGTTGTACGACTTAGTTGAACTTAGTTGCAACAGATGTTTTCTTATTAAAAATAATGTATTCGTATTTTAGTAGCTATCTCTCGTTAGTATTTATGACAATCTCTACACATTTTACTAATATTAAATAATTTTGACTTTTTCCCTCCCATCTCCATTTTCAACACGAAATCGTTTACGCTTGCCGCTGTTATGACTTACAGCGTAGTCGCGGTTTTGGTTTCATAACATTCCAAGAGCCCTGTAGCGTTGACAAAGTGCTACAGGTGCCCATACACACACTGGATGGCAAGAAGATCGATCCCAAGCATGCCACACCCAAAAATCGGCCACGTCAAGCCAATAAAACAAAGAAGATATTCGTTGGCGGCGTTTCACAAGACACCTCCGCCGATGAGGTGAAAGCCTATTTCAATCAATTCGGTACTGTGGAGGAAACCGTCATGCTGATGGATCAACAGACGAAACGTCATCGCGGTTTCGGTTTTGTTACATTCGAGAATGAGGATGTTGTGGATCGCGTTTGTGAGATACACTTTCACACTATAAAAAACAAGAAGGTCGAATGCAAGAAAGCCCAGCCCAAGGAGGCTGTCACACCAGCTGCTGCACAACTGTTGCAGAAACGTATTATGCTGAGCACATTGGGTGTGCCTATACCGACAGCACAGGGTCAATTAATTGGTACACGTGCCGGCGTCACCACAATGAGTTCATTGGCCATGTTGCAAGGGCCGTCACCATTGCAATTGCATGCCGCTAATGGCGCTGCAGCCGCTGCTGCACAACAGGCAGCGCTCATCTCGCAGTCACCCTTCCAAGTACAAAATGCCGCCGCCGCTGCGGTCGCCGCCAATCCGGCTAGCTTTGGCAAATTGCTTACCACATATCCACAGGCCTTGCACAGCGTCAGGTAAGCGCGAGTACCTACAACCTGCTAATTTTGTGTCGAACTAAATATAACATATATATATATATATATATTTTCTCACCTCCCCACAGATATGCACCATATCCCATACCGACGAGTGCTGCCGCCGCCAACGCCTTGGTACAGGCGCAACAGCAACATGTCGCGGCACAACAGCAACAGCATGCGAATGCTGCTGCTGCCGCTCAACAGCAACACACTGCCCATGCCCATGCCGCCGCTGCTGCCGCACAGCAACACAATGCCGCCAATACACAAGGCGTATCCGCTGCACAGAGCGCACACAGTGCGCTTGCCGTTACCGGCCCAGGTGGCGCTGCGAATGCGCATGGCGCTCAGGCGGCACATCATCCGCTTGCCGCAGCCGCTGCACAACAAGCGGCTTTGGTCGCCGGCAATCAATTGAGCGCGGCAGCCGCTGCAGCCAATCCATATCAGAGCTATGCGCTAACCAATGTGGACATGTCCAGCTTTCAGGGTGTTGACTGGAGTCAAATGTACGGCATGGGCATGTATGTCTAAAGCGTAGCATACGAAGTTGAATTTATTTAAAAAAATTCGAATTGTGCGTTTTTTTTTTTGTTTTTTCGCTTGTTTTTCAACAACCAAATGTGGAGTGTGCAGAAGTAAAAATACTCTTTATTGAAAAAAAAAGCAAATATATTTATATTTATGGAAATAAATCCATTTCATGCTTACTAATGCATGCGCGCCAAGCCACAATACATTTCTTTAAACGCACGCTGTAAATATGTGTGTGTGTGTGTGCGCGCATGCGCATTGCAACAATTACAACAATTTGTGATAAATGCATAGTTCTTGTTGTAAGCGTGAGCATTGAATTTTATTAATTAATTTAGTGAGACGCTGACTACGACATACATACAATTTAAGTTCTCAATATCAACTTGAATTATATTTAAACAAACAAAAAAGAAGAAAATAAAAACACTACAAATGTGTATAAAATGCTTATTATTAACATAATTATTACATATATGAATTTAAGCATACAAGTTATGCGTGCGCTCTATTTTTTTTGTTTTTGCTAGTTATTTAGCTCAAGCCAACATAAAGTAATAAGCTCATTTGCAAGCGCATGCTACAATAATGTGGCAAAAAAGCGCCAAAGAGATTTGCTTAACACCCAAAAGTGCGCGAAATTACGCGTTTTTTGTTGGTAACGAAAAAAAGGCCAACGCATAGATTGCAATAATGAATAATTATTTGAAAAAAGACACACTCTAGAGAGTAAAACAGCGCTAAATAGCTCACCAGCTGCAGTGCTATGCGCATTATAATTAAAACTGCAAAGTATAAACATACATGTATTTAGTTATAAGTGACTCAAAGCAATGAATACATACATATATAAGAAAAGATAAGACATGAAGGCGAAATTTCAGTATGCGCAACATTTTAGTGGCGGCAAATGGCAATTTCTTACATTTTGCGCGCGCATGGCCCAAAATTCATTTGTCAATTTCAGAAGTAAAACTCAATGATATATGTAAATTGTGTATTTGTTATTGTTAAACAAATGCCGCACTTAAGTATTATTACAAAAAAAAAAAAAAAATGAAGTAAAAAATTTTGTGTGCGCATGCGAACAATTTGTTCTGCGCCAAAATAATATAAGCGCATGTACTCAAGAAAATAATAATAATAATAAAAATGTTGAAAAATTAACACATATATATATATATTTAATTTTAAGCATCTAAGCAGAGCATTAAACGAAGTAGCAAAAAAAAAAAACGAATACAACAAAAAATGCTAAAGTAATATCTACAAATGTTATACCTTATAACCGAGTTGCAGGCAAAGTTAAAAAGTAAAAAAAAAAAAAAATTGAACAAAATATATTGCAATTAATGAAAAGCATATATTAATAGTACTAAACATCAAACATAACATAACATTGCATATAACAATAATTATATAAATAATGAGAATTAGAATTTTAAACCACCGACTTGATTGCGTTTAATTTAGAAAAACATGACAACAACAAACAAAACAAAAAAACATGCTACACACAATTTAACGCATATATGTATATATATTCATATACATGCCAATTACATTACATACATACATACATGACCTACAAGTAGTTTTACATATAAAGTACGCATGCATACATATATATATATACATATGTATATAGTATATGTGCCGTAAACTAAATTGCATTGAACATATAGTAGTTATGAACACTTTCCTAAAAAACAAAACATACATTTAAGGTGGCAAGTTCATATGAGCCACAGAACTCTTTTATCAATTATCAAAGAGTTGTGTGTGTTTGTTCGATACGCTAAAGCGGTCGTAGCGCAGTAGCAACTCTACTGCACGTGGCGCAACTGCTAGAAATCAATTGTATTTTCTAAGCAAAATAACTGCTGTAGAGAGCTAGTGTTGCAAAGAAGTTTAAGAAATAAGTCACTCACTGTTGGAAATTCGCTTAATTCGAAAACACACTTTAAGCAGTCGTTTTTATCTTGGATTCTGCTATTTTATATAATTTGCTGGAATCGAATTTTACACATCATGAATTTCTGTTGCTGCTGTGTACTTCAACAAGAAACTAGTTTTGTTATACAATTTCAAAACCAGTATTTTTCAAAAATTTAGTTTTTACGAACAAAATTTCAATAAATGCTGTAATTAGGTCTGACAAAACGGACCTAATGCAGGAAATTTTAAGAAAGCGCTAAAAGCAAAAAAAAAAAAAATGCGCAATACCTCTCCACTATTTTGCGACTTTCTATGAAAGAAGAACTTTCACCATAGCTAAAATTGAACATACACTTATATACCAACCTATTTGAATTAAAAAAAAATAAATGTTTCTCATATGAATACCGATTTTGCACACCTTTCCTACGAAATGATTGCCATATACGTTGCTCACACCTTGAAACATGGCTTATATACATATATATTTATAACACCTGCAGTAAACCCTACTTTTGTATATAAAATAACAGCAAAATTATTAATACCACAAACACTACATTCATACCGTTTCCATACTAGAAATTTGCATTGAATTTGTAGAGTGCTTAGTTTAGTATTTCCATTGATAATAATATTTCATTCAAACATTTAAAAAATAGTTTAGTATATACTTTTATAAATATGTATGAAGTGAATAAATATTGTAATTGCTTGCCCACTACTATTTTTTGAATTTATTATAAAAAAAATAAAAACTATTTATATGTCATTAATGCCTAATTGTACATTGTAATGATATTAAAGCCTATAAATATTAGCAATTAACGGCAGTAAAAGCTCCGTGCGTATAAGTTCTAAGTTCAACGAAACATTAGTGTATGTATTTAGATTTATTACAAATTTTCATTTCAATATTATACAGTTTATGTTTTTCATTATTTTAATTTTTTTCTATAAAGAAAAATTATTGTTTTTCTATAAAAGAAAATAATTTTTTTTACACTTTTACAGTAATGCCTGCATTATATGTAGTGTTTTTAGTTTCAATTTACACACTTTTTTTTTTGTATATATTTTTTTTCTTTGCCAATTTTTATTTTTTTGGCGATCAAGTATAATTTTTTATTTGCTTTTCCACTTAAACACTTACAGTACTTAACAATTGAAAGGTTTTAAGGGTTCTACTATGAAAATGTTGCATAAGAAGTATTGTTTTAAACGAAATCGTGAATTTTTTATGAAATATTATTTAAAAAAAAAATCACGAAAACATTGAAATACTTATAATTATATATACAAATTTATTTTAATAACACGAATTGCTTTTCTTTAACTTTATTGCTTATACCGGTAGTCTACAGCAACACTTGACATTAATATTAAAGCGTTATTTACACTGCATATATAATATATATAGCGTTAGTACAACCTATGCATTTTATGTAAGAACAGGTATTTTATATTAGTTTCTTTTGTTTTTTATTTGCTTTGCAATTATTTATAAGCGATTTGAATATAAATTTTTACTAAATAAATATTTTTTTTATATATATTTTATAATTGAAAAGTGGAATCAATAGTGCGTATAAATATAATTTTTAATTAATATTACTATTTTTAATTATTATTATTATATTATTAATTAAATATTACATTAACCATTAGTAGCAACATTCACTTAATTGCAGATATATTGCGCACTAATGTCATCAACATACTCTTTAAATACATACATACATTGAAATCACTCATTAAGTTTATATACATATATATAGAATATAAGCGTAGTAATTACGATTTGTAATATTTTAATTGTCATAATTTGCCAGAATGTACAAATATTCTTTGACATTTCAGCAGCAGAAAGTATTACTAGCTTAATCTTGCGCCTGCGCACGCATTCTGAGGTTAGTTCTGTAACGTAAATATACAATTTAACGCATAGACATACATACATATAAAGCTATATGATGGTTTTTCTTTAAACAAAAAAAATTGTAACTCTTTAACTGCGAAATTTCGAAATTGTCTTTAAAATTGAAATTTGTTTTATTTCAAAGAAGTTTAAACAATTTTTTAAATCCCAAAAACCAAGAAAAAAAAGGAATTACTTGTCAACTGCGAAATTTCGAAATTGGAAAGTGGAAATTTGTTGATTCAAACACGTTTAAAAATTTTCAAATCCAAAAGATTAAAAAAATATTTTTTAAAATCTGTGAAATCATAAATAATTTGCAAAAATGTTTAAAAAGCTATTTTTTTTTTGTTTTAATAGCAAAAAGCACCAAATTCGAATTATAACTCTATTATCAAAGCATTTTAGTTAAAACTTAAATTTCTTATATCGTTTATTTGCACTCTTTTTTTATAGTTTGCTTAAATAATTTATTTTATATTTCTGCTTATTTTTTCGAAAATTTATTTTGAAGCGTTGAACAAATATTTTGCGTTTTTTTTTTTGTAATTTTGTTTAATTTTTATTAGAAATCTGCTGCATGCGAATTAGCTGATTCTATTATATAAAACATAAAATAAACAAAAACATAAATACATAATTTTTTTTAGGTAAACACAAGCGATATGAAAACACACCAAAAATTTGGTAAACTTGGTTTCGAAAACCATTTCGCACTAAATATGTGAAATACTTCTAAATTGTGGCCAAGCTTGTACAAAATATCAAAAATTTTAATAGTTGAAAGTAATTTTTATCCTCTTTGCTTTTAAAAATTGTTTAGTAAAAATTAGTTCAAAGACTTGTATACTTTATTTGGTTAATTGTATTATTATTTGAGTTGTAAAGATATTTTCTTCGCTACAATTTATTGCTGCTATCAACTTTGCTGTACATGTAACAGCAAAAATATAATTCATTCATAATTTTTTTTTACATATTTCTTTTCATTAAATAAACATAACCTCAAAAAAATTTTAAGCAGAACTAGAGCTTGTTCAACGCCAGCATTTTTCTACAGAAAAACTAGTATGTTTCTTCTATTTTCTTCTCTACGGCACACTCATGCTCACATTTACTTCAAAAACTTACAAAACAGTTTTGTTTGAAATAACTTTAGGTTAAGTAAAAGCGAAAATCACATTAATATAGTACAACACTTTCATTGCTAACTCATTCGAACACTTACAACATAATAAATTTGAAATTTTTGTTTAGTAAATTAGTTGCAAATTGTTTAATTAGTTAATTTTTGTTTTGAAAAATTTATTTACCACAAGCGGCGGATAATAACGGCACATACACACACATATATATGATACTTATATATGTATTATGGTTTCAACTAGAAAGGAAATTGAACTTGTCTGCATGTCTAGTTTTTGGCTTAGGCAAATATGAGTATAAAGAAATATTTTAATAGTTTTTAATTTTTAATTTGTAAAACTTAGTTTTTTAGTGTTTACTTACATGTATTTGTTTCTAGTTTTAGTTTTACTTACTTACATATATTAAGTATGATTTTTTTACGAAAGTATTTTTGTTGTATTAATTGAAAATTTTCATTTTTGATTTCTTTAGTACTCGTCTATTTTTTAGTTGATTACAATATTTCATGCATTGTAAATAATTTGGAAAAAAACTTTTGTGAAATAAATTTGCGTAAAAAAAAGTAAGCAAAAACCTACATTTATTTAAAGTTACATACTTACTACCTACAATATATGTTCTAGTTGTATACAATTTGGCTAAACAAAAAATAAGTAAATATATATTTAAATTACATAATTACATAGCTACATACATATTTCGTGCGTTAATGTTATGAGTACATACATACAATATATTTGCATTCAAATTGAATTGCCAATTTATTATAACGGCTATCACATACATACATATATACATACTCTCTAGTATATATATATATATATATATATATTTATATATTAAGCAGCAAATTAATAAAAGCGAAAATGTAATTTTGTACTGTGTTTTTATTACAATTAATCGTATTTTTGTAAAAATTAGTGATTTGTTTGGTATTTAGTCTGAAGTACATACATACAACCATATACTCGTATAATTCCTTAGTTGTGTGTGCGTGTGTGTGTGTGTGTTTGCGCATACACTCCCACATACTGTTGTTGTCTGTTTGGCCTAGTGTACATATATATTTTTATTAGCTGTTGTTGTTGTGTTGTTAAAAAATTTAACATTTTCTCTTTAGTATTTTTAGTATTGAAAAAAAAAAAAAAAAAAATTGGTGAACGATATTTTGAAACCCCATTTGATTATGTAATTCATAATATATAATGCAACTTATATTCCATAAAATATTTAAGCAGCGAAGCGCGAAAGGTAAGTGTTCATAATATACTTGCATACGTATGTAATATTAAGTATCTACTTGTAGAGGCGTTGGAACCCTGAGCAAATATTCATACAATTGTAGAGTTATTGTCGAAATGCGTA